TTAAGTGAATTTGATTACTTGTCTTAATTGGTATGTCCATTTGTGTTTTGCAGTTTCTTTTAATTCGTCTATCATATCCGTATCCGTTGTTTGTTTTATTTTCTTTATATTTATGTATTGTTGTTATTGTTTATTATCAATTTGTCGTGGATTTTATGAGCATATACCTGTTGCCATGACTTGCACTTGTCATAATATATTTATTAGGAATTATTAATGTTTGAGCACCCTACACTTAACAAGACTAATCAATATTATAGTCAATAGTCTAGTCAATAGGCTGTCAATAGTCTAGTGAATAGGTTAGTTAATAGTGCAGTCAATAGTCTAGATAATGAACTGGTCAATAGACTAGCCAATAGTTTAGTCGATAGTATAATCAACAGACTAGTCAGTAGACTTGTCACTAGTCCATCCAATGGTCTAATCAATAGACCAGTTAAGAGTCCATTAAATAGTCCATTCAATAGTGCAGTAAATAGTCTAGTCCATAAACTAATCAATGGAGTAGTTAATGGTCTAGTCAGTAGACTAGTCAACAGTCTAATCAATAGACTGTCTAGTCATTGGAATAGTTAATAGTTTAGTCAATATTCTAGTCAATAGTCTAGTTAATAGACTGTCAATAGTCTAGAGAATAGACTAGATAATAGTGTAGTAGTCAACAGACTAGTCAGAAGACATTGACAAGCCTATCCAATAGTCTAGTAAATATACTAGTCAATGAACTAGTCAATGGAGTATTTAATGTTCTAGTCAATAGACTAGTCAATAGTTTAGTCAGTATTCTAGTCAATAGACTATCAATAGTCTAGTGAATATACTAGCCAATAGTTAAGTCAATATTGTAGTCAATAGTATAGTCAATAGTCTAGTGAAGAGACTAGTTAATAGTATAGTCAATAGTTTAGTTAATGGACGGGACTAGTCAATAATTTAGTCAATAGTCTAGACAATAGTCTAGTCAACAGCCTAGTCGATTGTCTAGTCAATAAATTAGTTAATTGTCTAGTCAATAGTCTAGGCAATGGAATTGTCAATAGTCGAGTCAATTAATCAGTCAACTGGTCAATACACTAGTCAATAGTCTAGTCAACAGACTAGTCCGTAGACATGTCAATGGTCTGTCCAATAGTCTAGTCAATAGACTAGGCAATAGTCCACTAAATAGTATAGTCAACAGTCTAGTGAATAGACTAGTCAATGGAGAAGTTATTGGTCTAGTCAAGAGGCTGTCAATAGTCCAGTCAATAGACTAGTCAATAGTCCAGTCAATAGACTAGTCAATAGTCTAGTCAATATACTGTCAATAGTCTAGTGAATAGACTAGTTAATATTGTAGGGAAGAGTCTAGTTAATGGACTGGACTAGTCAATAGTTCAGTCAATAGTCCAGACAATAGTCTAGTCAATAGAATAGTCAATAGTCTTGCCATAAGCTAGTCAACAGTCTAGTCAATAGACTAATCAATAGACTAGTCAATAAATTAGTCAATTGTCTAGTCTATAGTCTAGACAATGGAATTTTCAATAGTCAAGTCAGTGAACTAGTCAATGGCCTAGTCAATAGACTATTCAATAGCCAGCCAATAATCTAGTCCTTCGTCTTGTCAATAGACTAGATCAATAGATCTTCCATTTTTTCCCAACAATGATATGCCAAGGTCATTTAAAAATTGCAATTAAACTCAAGTTCATTTCCCAGCAACTTTATTTCTAAAAGTCTAAAAACTAAAGCAATTTCTACAACATTTCCACTTTATATAAAATCCATACTTTGTCTGAACTCCTCTCTGCTTCCCATGGCCGTAACAAAAAAAAAACTCACTTTCTAAGGTTCATTAAATACATACTTATTCTATAGATAACTTGAACAAGAGCAGCAAACTAGTAAGTATTTATAAAAGATTTAGTAACTTCTTTTATGTTTTTTCCTATTATTTCTATTATTATTATTCCATTTTCCAACAAAAGGAATTCCACTTTACAAGTTTTTGTTTAGAAAAAAACACGAAGTAGAAGTAAAGTGTATCATGGCATATTTTAAATAATAAACTTTATAAAAAAATTGAAAAAAAAATTGTAATAGAAATAGAAAAGATAGACCTACTTGTTACCAATTGCCAACAATTGTTTGTTATAAGAAACACACTTACAAACAAACAAGTGTGAGTTCTTTTTGTTTTTTTTTTTCGATCAAATTAAGTTGTATGTGTTTGAGCGTGTATTTTTATTATAACTTTGGCTTTGACTTTTCTTTTAATGCCTTTGTACAACATGTAGCAGATTGTTAGTGGTAAGTTAGTAAGTAGTAAATAAGTAAGTATTGTGCAAATTGTTTATATTTATTTTTTCATTTTTGTTGGCACTGTTGTTGTCATTGTTGTCCTCATTGATGGCTTTAGTGTGTATATTGAATTGATAGCAAATTGTGAACAAGCAGCAGTGAAAGCTTTTTTTCACTATATACACATATTATTTATATAGTTTTAAGTGTATATAGATAGTTGTTTATATAAATGTTTTTATATATAAAAATAATAAGATTTGATTTGCTTTAAGATTGATCGCTTGGGGGCATGCGTAAATGTCCGAATATTGTAAACGGAAGACAGTGGTCAAGCAGGATTTTGAACTTTTTTCTAAAGCTTTAATAAATTTGACATACTTGATTAAGCTAGCATCTATGAAGTATGAATTTGAACTCAAATTAAGAACATAATTCCTGGAACTAAATTAGAACTGAACTAAAACTGAACTAGAACTGAACTAGAACTGAACTAGAACTGAACTAGAACTGAACTAGAACTGAACTAGAACTGAACTAGAACTGAACTAGAACTGAACTAGAACTGAACTAGAACTGAACTAGAACTGAACTAGAACTGAACTAGAACTGAACTAGAACTGAACTAGAACTGAACTAGAACTAACTGAACTAGAACTGAACTAGAACTGAACTAGAACTGAACTAGAACTGAACTAGAACTGAACTAGAACTGAACTAGAACTGAACTAGAACTGAACTAGAACTGAACTAGAACTGAACTAGAACTGAACTAGAACTGAACTAGAACTGAACTAGAACTGAACTAGAACTGAACTAGAACTGAACTAGAACTGAACTAGAACTGAACTAGAACTGAACTAGAACTGAACTAGAACTGAACTAGAACTGAACTAGAACTGAACTAGAACTGAACTAGAACTGAACTAGAACTGAACTAGAACTGAACTAGAACTGAACTAGAACTGAACTAGAACTGAACTAGAACTGAACTAGAACTGAACTAGAACTGAACTAGAACTGAACTAGAACTGAACTAGAACTGAACTAGAACTGAACTAGAACTGAACTAGAACTGAACTAGAACTGAACTAGAACTGAACTAGAACTGAACTAGAACTGAACTAGAACTGAACTAGAACTGAACTAGAACTGAACTAGAACTGAACTAGAACTGAACTAGAACTGAACTAGAACTGAACTAGAACTGAACTAGAACTGAACTAGAACTGAACTAGAACTGAACTAGAACTGAACTAGAACTGAACTAGAACTGAACTAGAACTGAACTAGAACTGAACTAGAACTGAACTAGAACTGAACTAGAACTGAACTAGAACTGAACTAGAACTGAACTAGAACTGAACTAGAACTGAACTAGAACTGAACTAGAACTAGAACTGAACTAGAACTGAACTAACTAGAAACTGAGAACTAGAACTGAACTAGAACTGAACTAGAACTGAACTAGAACTGAACTAGAACTGAACTAGAACTGAACTAGAACTGAACTAGAACTACTAGAACTGAACTAGAACTGAACTAGAACTGAACTAGAACTGAACTAGAACTGAACTAGAACTGAACTAGAACTGAACTAGAAACTGAACTAGAAACTGACTAGAACTGAACTAGAACTGACTAGAACTGAACTAGAACTGAACTAGAACTGAACTAGAACTGAACTAGAACTGAACTAGAACTGAACTAGAACTGAACTAGAACTGAACTAGAACTGAACTAGAACTGAACTAGAACTGACTAGAACTAGAACTGAACTAGAACTGATTTAGAACTGAACAAGGCTTTCCATCAAAAATATATTTAAAATATAAAGAGGATCGCTGTGATTGCTTATTTAAATGAAATGGTGATCATTTTTCGCTATTTTCTTAAATGAAGCATTAATTAAGGATCTGCAAACGATTAAGGTTTATGATCAAATAGAAGTCATCACAGGTTTTCTCTATTTTAGGACCTATAGCCGATTTTAGATTTTTTATGTGAAAATGTGAAAGTTCTCCAAATGATCACAGTTTTCAATATATTTCGTTTCGAGAGTTATTTAAGGATCTGCAGATTATTTATAGAAAATATGACTGATCACAGAATTTTAAAATTTTTCTGATTGAAGAGTTATTAAATGATCAATAGCAGTTTTTAGGTTTTTCATATACAAAATGCATTTTCATGGAAAATATAAGTGATCCTAAGATGATCACACTATTTTCAAAATCTATTTTTAACGAGAAATATGAGTGATTTCAAGTTAATCACAGGATCTACAAACGATTTTAGTTGTTTCATATAAAGGGATTTTTAATGGAAAATATAGTCACATCTCGTGATGATCGCAGTTTTTCACTGATTTTTTGAGTGAAACTTTTTTTAAAGAATTTACTAACGATTTTAGGTTTTTTCCTATACAAATTAATTTTTAGAGGAAAATATGAGTGATCACAGATTTGGATATTTAAGGATCTGCAGTCACAGTAAACCCTTTGATTTATATATAAATTCACTTTTTAAAAAATTTTCCCAATAAAAATTTTCTCACGCTTTATTATTATTTTTATTTATTTTTTTTTTTTTGTAATTTCACCTTCCCTTTTTTATTTTCTTAATATTCGCCCTAAATTCAACATAAACAACAACAAGTTTCTGTATTATATTACAGAGTACTGAGTAAAGTAGTTAGAGTATTAATTACTTACCACCATTAATGGTTTTAAATCCATGTGTTAGATTTATTAAAGCGGCAATTATAACTAAAGTGGTTACAATAAGTTGACCCCATTGTATGGCAAATGATCTTGATGTTGAGCTTGTAGTTGTGATAGGCGATCGCTGGTTCAGCGATCGTTTGTTTAAGCTTACAGTCATAATGTGATAAAATGTTATGTAAAGTCTTTGTTTTTTTTTTATGATAATAAATAGTTTATAAATTTAGTTGTTGTCATTAATGAATGAATTTGCAAATGAACCGTTTTGTTCTAAACTGTTGTTTTATTGTTTGCGTTTGTTTTTTGTTGTGGTGGTTAAAACGAAAGACTTAAGCAACAAACTTGTTTTTTTATTTTTATTATTATTTGTGTTTTTTTATTCTATGTTTCTATTTTATTTTTATTTTTTTTATTTTAACTTTATTTATTCCGCTTTTATGCTTTACGCACAATTATTGTTTTGTTGTGGTTGTTGTTGTCTTTGCTGACTTGGTTGTTGCATTGCAATTTTAATGCTAGAGAGAAATTCTTTAACAAAAAATTATAATTAGTTTTCTTTTCATCGTTTGTTGTTAGTTATTTGATTTGATTTTATTTTTTTTCTATATTTTCTATTATTTTTCTTACACAAACAATTTTTCCACTTTATTTTGTTTTATATTTTCTTATAAAAGTAGTTGCAAGTCGTTGTTGTTGTATTTTTTAAATTTATATTTTTAGACTTTACAAACAAATTCAGCTTTTTTTCAGTCTTTGGTTTTAAAAAGAACACTCGCGTTTAAAAACACTATTATTTGTTTTTTGTTGTTGTTGCTTAATTAAATAATTTGTTTTCAAATTAAATAAAAAATAATAATAAAAAGCCCACTTAAGAAAAATCTATTTAACTTTTATCTTTTTAACTAAACACGCACAATTTTAATTAGAATTTAAAATTGTGTAGAGCGTTAAATAGTTGTTTGCAACGAAATTCAATTCGTAAAGATGCAATTCAACTCAAAGTGGAGTAAGTGGCTCAGCGTACGACTAAAGTGGTGTAGAATGTCTGAAAACCACCTTAAATATGAAATCGTCGTGCTGTTTCAATTTACATACACCTGTTACTGGGTTTTGTCTTTTACGTTTTCTTCTTCGTCTTCTGTTGTGGCCAAGAAAGTACGAAAAAGTGTTAAAATCGTTTGTCGTCTATTTCTGGTGTACCCGTGTATTTGGGTGTGTGTGTGTGTGTGTGAGTTTGTCTTAGACAACCGTTTGTTTTTTGGTGCTGTATATGTTTTGAGAGACGTCCGCTCGCTTGGACGTTACAATACGAAATGTTTAAGTGTTGACCAAGTTTGTAAAAAATTCTTGTCTTCAAAAAGATAACGGACTTCGAATTTATGCTTAACACCAACTTTCACTTTAGCATGGAGCACAAGACGACCATGGCTTAGCAGTACTCTTAGTAGGCAACACCAACCAGTCACTCACTCGGCCCGCAAACAAGCCAGCCAGCCAGTCAGTCAGTTAGTTAGACAGCCAACCAGCAAAAGTAGTAGAGAGTAAATTTGTTGAGCAAACAAATAAACCAAGAAAAGCAAACCGGGTTTTTTGTTATTGTTGCTACTGCTGCTGCTGCTAAAGAAATTTTGGCCAAAAACTCTCCAACTTGCACGATTTGTATATTAACTTCCAGTTAAGTGTTTATATATTTTGTTTATATTTTTTGTATATTTATATTAATAAAATGCACTACTGCTATTTAACACATTTATATAAAATTATCTTTAAATTGTTGCAATATTTTCTGCTATTTTTTTTTTTTAGTTTTCTTCACCGTTAACGTTTTATTTTACAGCTGCTTTTGATTTGAAACATTAAGCCAAACAAAAAACTCAATAAAACTTAAAGAAAAAATACGTCTTCCGTTGTTTAAAATAAAACACGTCCGTTTGCTTTGCTGCTATTATGATTACTGAATCTCTGCTCGTTGGGTTGTCGATATTTTTAGTTAAAAACTTTTCTTCTTGCTCATCACAAATTTCTTTCTTTTACTTCGTCTTTTTTTCCCAACAACTAAACCAGAGTTAATAAAAAAACTGTTAAACTGACATTGATGTTAAGCTTAGCTCTCTGTCTGTTAAGTTAACAGCAGCTTGAAGTGTTAATTTAACATCAAGATTAAAATGATCATGAAGTTTGTAGATTTTTTATGATTTTCTAAAGTGATAAACAGGTGAATGAAGTTGCTTTAGTTAATGTATTTATTTATGTAATTGCATATAATAACCACTGGTTGGGATTTTTACCAACACCACTTGATGGCCTTGGAACATGTGTTAGACATTTGTTTTTGTACATATGTATTCCATAGAATTCCTTATAATGTTAACTTATAAACTGCAATAAGAAACTAATTTAATTCCCTTATTTATTGGAAAACTTTGTTTTATATAAATTTATTAATCAAAGATTGGAAAAAGGAAGCTCATTTGATAACCAATTTTCTTTAATAAATTTCATGTCTAAACCGTCTATAGTTTTGTCTATAGTATAGATTATAGTTGAGTCTATAGTCTAGTCTATAGTTTGGACTATAATGGAGTCTGTAATATATAATAGACGAGACTATAGTCCAAAGTCTGGACTATAGTCTAGTCTATAGTCTGGACTATTAGAGTAGTCTATAGTCTGGAGTATAGAGTAGTCTATAGTCTGTACTATAGAGTAGTTATAGTCTGGACTATCGAGTAGTCTATAGTCTGGATTATACAGTAGTCTATAGTCTGGACGATAGAGTAGTCTATAGTCTGTACTATAGAGTAGTCTATAGTCTGGACGATAGAGTAGTCTATAGTCTGGACTATAGAGTAGTCTATAGTCTGGACTATAGAGTAGTCTATAGTCTGGACTATAGAGTAGTCTATAGTCTGGACTATAGAGTAGTCTATAGTCTGGACTATAGAGTAGTCTATAGTCTGGACTATAGAGTAGTCTATAGTCTGGACTATAGAGTAGTCTGTAGTCTGGACTATAGAGTAGTCTATAGTCTGGACTATAGAGTAGTCTATAGTCTGGACTATAGAATAGTCTATAGTCTGGACTATAGAGTAGTCTATAGTCTGGACTATAGAGTAGTCTATAGTCTGGACTATAGAGTAGTCTATAGTCTGGACTATAGTCTAGTCTGTAGTCTGGGCCATAGTCTATAGGCTATTATATAGTCTAGTCTATAGTCTAGTCTAGACTATAGTCTGGACTATGGTCTAGTTTATAGTCTGGACTATAGTCTAGTCTATAATCTGCACTATAGTGTAGTCTATAGTCTGGACTATAGTCTGGACTATAGTCTGGACTATAGTCTGGACTATAGTCTGGACTATAGTCTGGACTATAATCTAGTCTAGAGTCTGGACTGTAGTTTGGTCTATAGTCTCGCCAATATTTTGGACTATAGATTCGTATATATTCTGGACTATAGTCTGGTTTATAATCTGGACTACAGTCTGGGCTGTAGTCTGGACTATAGCCATGTCTATAGTCTGGACTATAGTCTGGACATAGTTAGTTCTATGGCTTAGTCAAGTTTTAATGGAAAATATAAGTGATGATATAATTTAGCTATTTTCGCGATTAAAGCTAATCTGCAGCCGATTTTATGTTTTTTATATAAAAATCTATTTTTGTTGAAAAGTATAATTGATCAGTTTGTTTTTTTGTCGATTTCTAAGTTGGAAAGAGCGTCCAGCGATCTTAGGGTTTTAAATAAACATCTCACATTAACGAGTGTGAATGTCTTCATGTGTGCATTCCCATGTGCGTCCGAGTGTGTAAGTGACTGACCGTTAATATTTTTCAAAAGATACTGCAAGGTGTTTGTTATGATTTGTCGGTTTGTTGAGGTCTGTCTCATGCATTCATAATTTAACAGTTGTCATAAAAACTTAAGAATAAATATTATTTTCACTTTCTGTGAAACTTTAAAATTCAAAATGATTTACAAACAATATTTTAATGACAGAAAAATCACTTGTACTCTTCTTGTTAGCAGAAGTACTTTATTTTTTGTTGGTAATTACTTGTCAACAATGACATTACAAGAGATTTAAATGTTTTTAAGATTAAGAGAAAAAAAGTAAACAATGTCAAGAAACATTTATTTGCTTGTATATAAAAGTGAGAGTGTGCGTTGTTTGTAACTTTATTTGTAACTAAAAACTTAAAGTTATCTATTTTTTAACAGTATTTTGGATTTTTATTAGATAAGCCGCATTATTCATATAAATATAATTATTTTATAAAACCTGATGGTTTTATTTTAATAGAATTTCTTTGAATAAACACTTGTTGTTTTCGTTTGATTGCATTTTTTGTAGAAAAAATATTTTATAGTTTTATAAATCTTACAAAAAATTTTATGGTTTTTATGGAAAAAAAAGATCTTTAATTAAAACAAAATATTTTAAAAATTTAGTTCATAAAGTTTTTGTAGTTAACAGACGTGTGTGTATGAGTGAAAATATTTAAAAATGCATCATGCATGTTGCTTAAGTCTTTTGTTTTTGTTATATGAAAAGAAGATTTTTTAGAGTTTTATGTATGAAATGTTTTTAATATGTATGATTTAATGCTAGATTTTAATGAAAGAAATTTAGTTCTAAGTTAAAAACTCAAAACAAGTTTGATTTACTAAATAAAATGTAGCAAATGGAACATTTTTAAAAAATTTGTTATATAAACCAAAGTTTTCTTAAAAAAAATATTACAATTTTCAAGTATTACCCTAAAGAAAGCTTCCAAATCTTTAACTTTCATGATCACTTTTATTATGATATTTAGTTAATAGTTAATAAAACCTAAGTTAAGTTCAATTTCACTTTTAACAACTTGTTGTGGCTGTGTTTACTATTACTTTTTTCATGTATTTTTCGTTTAAATATTTTCTCACCTCAAATAAATAGAAAAAATTACTAGAAATAAACCAAAAAACATACAAAACCCTAACAAGTGTGCAAAATGAAAGTAAATTTGACAAACAAAATCATCATCATCATTAACACCACCAACATCATCTTCATAATGATAAACATGTTCATGGCATGCTTGCACAATGTACATGGTCGGTCGGTCTTGGATCTTTAAAGTTTAAATATTGTCTTTTGGCAAAGAATAAAATACTGTGAAAATACATTGTTAGTTAAATAAATAATAAAAAAGAAACACCCCAACAATTGAGCATTAATTAAAAAAAAGTCGTATTACTACATAAATGCTATTTAATTAGCGTCTAAATACTTGTAGTAGGGAAAAAAAGAAAATTTTTAAAACATTTTAACATTATTTTAATACGCAGCTAATGATGTTTAAGAAATTGTCAAAAAAAATAAACATCAAAAAAGTGAAATATTAAATAGAAATTTATCAATGTTTTTGTTCATTGTTTCTTGCAAATATTTATTTTGCAGGAAACTTAAAACAAATACAAAAGATTACACACAATTCCAAATTCCAAATGTTAGTTGTTCTTTTAGAAAACTCAAGACTACTAAATAGTCGGCTTTAAACGTGTCTATAGTCGTTTCAATAGATTTATAGTTGACTCTACAGACGAGTTTATAGTCGACTCCATAGACGAGTCTATAGTCAGCTCTATAGACGAGTCTATCGACTTTATAGACGAGTTTATAGTCGACTCTATAGACGAGTCTATATTCGACACTATTGACGAGTCTATAGTCGACACTATTGACGAGTCTATAGTCGACACTATTGACGAGTCTATAGTCGACATTATAGACTAGTCTACAGTCGACTTAATAGACAAGTCTATAGTCGACTCTATAAACAAGTCTATAGTCGACACTGTAGACAAGTCTATAGACGTCTATAGAGTCGACTATAGACTCGTCTGTAGTCTGTAGACAAGTCTATAGACGAGTCTATAGTCGACACTATTGACGAGTCTATAGTCGACACTATAGACTAGTCTGTAGTCGACACTATAGACTAGTCTATAGTCGACATTATAGACTAGTCTATAGTCGACACTATAGACGAGTCTCTCAATCTCTATAGACTCTATAGACGAGTCTATAGTCGACTATAGACTCGTCTATAGAGCTGTCTATAGACAAGTCTATAGACGTCTATAGAGTAGACTATAGACTCGTCTGTAGTCTATAGTCGACTCTGTAGACAAGTCTATAGACGATTATATAGTCGAGTCTATAGACGACTCTATAGACGGGTCTATGGTCGACTCTATTGAGGAGTCTGTAGTCGAATCTGTAGACTAGCCAATAGTCGACTCCATGGACGAGTCTATAGTCGACGCTATAGACTAGTCTATAGTCTACTCTATAGACAAGTTTATAGTCGACTCGATAGAAAAGTCTATAGCCGACTCTATAGACAAGTCTATTGTCGACTCTATAGCAAGTCTATAGTCGACTCTATAGACAAGTCTATAGTCGACTCTATAGACAAGTATTTAGTCGATTCTATAGACAAGTCTATAGTCGACTTTATAGCCAAGTCTATAGTCGACTCTATAGACGAGCCTATAGCCGACTTTATAGACGAGTCCATAGTCGACACTATAGACGAGCCCAAAGTTGACATTATAGCCGAGTTTAGAGTCAACTCTATACACGAGTCGACTCTATAGACGAGTCCATAGTCGACTCTATAGAAAAGTATTTAGTCGGCTTTATAAACAAGTCTATAGTCGACTCTATAGACGAGTCTATAGTCGTATCTATAGACGAGTCTATTATCGACTCTATAGACAAGTCTATAGTCGACTCTATAGACAAGTATTTAGTCGACACTATAGATGAGTCTTTAGTTGTCTCTATAGAGATGACTATAGTCGACACTATAGACGAGTCTATGGTCGGCTGCCGAAATGAATAAGTAAGGGATGCTAAGCTTAAACTAACACAAACCTTTGAGTGTATTTATCTCAAAAC